ATAATATAATTCCAAACATATATATATATATATATATGCACGATAGCTGAATGTAAACACATCATTGTTTTGTGAAAATGGAACATTAGCGGGAAACTTAAAGAAAATTTCACATTTTGTGGACGGGCGATTTTTCTCCTGAGAAATATGAACTTATTTATCAAAATTTTTCTGACGTTTCGCACAAAACTTAGAGTAGTATTTTTTGCTTTCAAAAACGACGTTAAAAGAGCACCTACCGTCCTGCCAAATACAGAACGCTTGACCACCCTGCAATTGATTCATCTTTCCGACCGTTCCCCCTCTCTCTCTCTCTCTCTCATTCTGTCTATCTCTTTCTCATTCTCTCGTTTGATCTCTCGCCTCTCTTGCACGCGCAGCGGTTAACTTGGCGCCACAACTGGGTTTGAATGGGGTAACTGAAATTCTTGGCTAAATGGGACAACCCAATGATACGCACATTGAATTTATTCTGAAACATACCCGATTCAATTCGAATCCCAATAAATAACAGTATCACGTGTATCCGTATATTAGATTCTCCGAATCAAAGGTTTTCGTTTCAGAAAATCCAATTTTAGTTATCGCAGCCGAAATATTTGTTTGTCCGTATCCAAATGAGCATTTTACTTCAGTCAACTGAATGAGTTTCTCCTGCAGTCTTGATCGCTGGAAAGTCACTGGGTAGTGCCGTTTAGTCGATCGATTCAATTAGCCCGTGTGACCCCAATCGTTATGCAGTCCAGACGGTGGACCGCCCAGTCCAACGGTGTCCTCGCACTCGGCGCAAACCCCGGTGCATCCGACGCCCGCACCGAGGTGGCCGTTGAAGCCAGGCGTGCTGGTGCACATCAATCGGACCCACAGCCTGCGATCCGGCCTGAGCGTTCGCGCGAATGAGAGTCTGCGTAACGAGCTAATGGTCAAACATAACGACGAACCGCTGAGACAGAGGTTCCTCGACGAGACTTCGTTGTCGTCGATCGGCCGGAACCCGGCGCGCGTATTCCGTCGCAGGAAAGAACCGCAACGAGCGACTAGCATTGCCGGTCCGCACGAGGAGAGCATGCTCGCTCGGGCCAACAAAATAAAAGCCATGTTTGGCGTACAGCTCAAAGAGCAGACCATTCTGCCCGGTATATCCAGGGAGAAGACAGGTAAGTCGTACGCAAAGTGTTACCGTGCCGAGCCCGCGACCTAGCGAACTGCGAACTCCCGCTTCATGCCGACTGCACCGGCGTCATTTGAGCCAGCTCGCGGGAATTTCGGGCATTTGCGAAACGAAATATTGGAACACGAGTATCTTTAATATCCCGCCGCAAAATTATCCGCGCGTTTGACATACCGCAATGCTCACGGCGATATGAACTGGATACGCGGTCACGTGCCGACGGGGATGCAAATATTTGTCGATGCAAATGGCTTGAACAAACGGCTCTTCCGTGTCGATGGTCCGCGTCAAATGTAGCTCCGGTCTTTTCCCCGCGCTCGCAAGACGTAACGCGGCGACGCAATTGTGATCTCGTGCCGACGCTTTCTTTGAAATAATAACAGCACCCTCGAGATACGCCTTGAGATGGTTGCATTATCGGTTTCTACGAGTGTACGGTTACGTATCTCGGGTTTGTTTTTGTATTCTTAAAGAATACAGTGTGATCGGTATTATCTAGTTATCTAGTTACTTCATCGATACTTGAGAGTATTGATTTTATGGCGGCGTTACTTCGTGGAACTCGTGCCGCGTTACGTTACGGTTTCTCCCCCTACAGTTTCTTCCCGACCCGTTGTCACAGGTAATAACGGACCTTATTGTTTTATCTATTGTTATCAGCGACTTTTTTATTTCTATGTTCTTTTATGTCTTATGCGTTTCAACTTCGCTAGCGGAAACATTACCGTGTTATTGGAAAATACCCGGCGCGCTTGTTCCGTATACGTCGTCGCAGGCGACTTTGAAACCCCATTAAGCATACAGCTGTGTACGCGGCGCGTAATTAACCCTTTAATTTTTCCACGCCGCTGCCGGCGGAAACTTCGTGTTTCGGCGAATGCTCGATCTTGCTGTACTTTGAACAATGCTTATTTAAGAACTTTATCGTTACTTAATCGGTGGATTAAGGAACGAGTTTCTTCAAAGTCGAGATTTCGACATGATTTTCTTTCTATTTTTTTTAGAAAAACGCATCCTTTGTAAATAACAGCGTGTCGTCAAAGTTATTGATAAGATCAATTAAATTTTCTCTTTTTCACGCACATAGGGTGTTAAAAAAAAATGGGCTGACTATATGTAGCTGTATAGGCAGAGTTGGGACAATTCCAGATTTTTGGGATAAATTCCATGCCAGTGGTAAAAACCGGTATTTTCCGGGCAAAAAGGCAAATGGTCCTTTCTGTTAAAAGCGGTAAAATAAATAGGAAACTATTTATCGATATTCTAATTCACAAGCAGCCCGAGGCGCCCTATAGTTCTACGATTTACCCTATAGTCTACTGTGCAAGAATTTGTGTGTAAAAAAACAAATGGAAAAAGTGCTCGATCATATTTATGTTCATATAGATATATTCCATAAATCTTTCCACGTAGCTATGTTAAAGTAATTATTATATGTATTATTTATTGATAAAGTAGTCAATTAAAAGTAAATATACACAAAATAACCGAACAAGAAACGAACAGCTAATGCAAACATTCGTTATTATAATTTGAAAAATGTATAAGCCGTAACAAATCCGAACAGAATGTTTCTCAGACTGATTTGACCATAAAATAGTTTACCAAAAAAAGTTCATACGCGTTTAATTGCCAACATATTACAAATTCGCTATTCGTTCGTGTTCGCTCGCTCAGTGTGTAGCCATCTTAACGTGAGTAATTTGACAATTAGGATGAAAATAGAAAGACGCTGTATAGACTTGCTTTTTATCCTGTTTATTTGCTAACAATAAGCAGAAATGTATTGCTTGTGAAACATTAATAAGTTCAAAAATTCCAAGATTGAAATAGCATTTTCAAAAATGTAACGAGATTAAAGAAAATATAAACGCGAACCAGATTTATATTTCTGCTTTTACTTTCAAGTTAACTCTGCATTTTTGGATTTATTTATTTAATAAATAGCATTTTACAGAAATGACAAACGATGATATTTTTGCAAATGTTATTTATCATTTCTATAAAATATCTATAAAATACCATTTATTTAAGAATGGTAAAAGATGAAATAAAGTGAGCATTAAAACTGACTATCTAGCTGCTATCTAACTAGCGTCGATTATGATAACACAAAAATTCTCGTAATCTTTACACGACCTTAACTCGTCAACTGAGCGTTTTAAGCACTATGTTTATACAAACTTTATTGTTTGCATTGATATATGATCCTACACAGCTACATATAACTAACCTATCTTTTTTTAAAATCCCAATGTACTCACGCCGTATGGTCACTGCAACGTGCTTACAAAAAAAATATTTTTGATAAAAATATTTAAATGAAAAAAAAATATTTTTGATGTAAAATATTTTTGATGTCATTCAAGCGAAATGGAAGCAAGCTAAAAAAAAATGCTATATTCATCATAAGTACAAATATCATCATAAGTACAAATATTTCTGTATATTTTTTTTATACATAAAGGAACGTGTTAAAACAGTCTTTGATAATACGCAATTTCGAAATGTAAGGCACAACAATGTTCTCGTATTTTCTAACAATCGCGATTTATTTACATTTAATTAAGCTATCGCATGAGAAAAGCTTTATGTGTCTGTGATATTGCTCGTTGTTGATTGTGTGTCTCTTAGCCGTGACTTATAAGAGAATCGTGCCGCGTCAGCAGATATTGCACACCGTGGAATCATCTCACGAGCTGCATCATGGCAACGTGTCTCGTAAGCGAAAACGTCCCGGAGCAGGTACGTAGAAATTATTTTTATAGCATCCACTCTCGCATATGTTTAGATTTTCTTTCGAAATTTGGCTTGTTTTTCTAAACTTATGTGTTGTTTATCATTGCTGTTTATCCTCTACTCGTGAATACATATGTTTATCGTTAAACAATACAACACATATACACACACACACACATATATATATATATATATATATATATATATATATATGTATGTATGTATGTATTTATGTATATACATACGCACATATACATGTAAATGTGTACACCAGGTGACTCGCGTGCAAAAGCAAAGATCATTCGAGTGCGAAGTAGAGGATTATTTAATTATAGGTAGTCATGCGCGACACGCAAGAATTAATAGTTTACATGTAAATGGAAAGTACATACAGCAACTAACCACATAAATTTCACTTATCGCAGCAACTATTAATCACAAGTATTATTTATTCTCTGATTTATATCATAGCTATAGCTCTGCGCACACTCCTCCAGTAGCGCTCATTGCGATATTACTGTCTCCACAACCTTCTACTTTATCATATTTCCTATTTCTCTATCTTTCTATTCGTCGACTCGAAAGTTCCCTTATCGGGGAAATGTCGTTAGCGAAATTATGAATAAATAATGACGAACTGTCGGTAATAAATACGGTACGACATTATTCTTCTGCTATGTGTCGATGTATCGAATGAACACTACAACTCACAGCGAGAGTTGTAAAGCGCGATTCGGACGTGAAACGAAGGGGGCGAATCGCGGAATCCAGGATCAAATAGCGGAGCTCGAGAATTCAGAATTCTGATACGAAACAAATCGCGTTTGATCGCAGTATCATCTGGAATTCTTTCTCTTTTTTTTTTAGACCCGCCATCTCATCACGGATTCCAACTCGTAACTCCGTTTCGCGACTCGGGCTTTACGATTGTCTCTCTTTACACTATTCTATCTTTTATATTAATATAGCTCGTCGTTATTGGATTAAGTCGGAATGTGTTGGTCGATCATGAAACGTCGACTCTCTCTAACACCGTTATTGACATTTACGCCACGATTGAACTAACTTCATTCTCTTTTTGCAATTGCAGATCCCAATCAAGCTGCGAATAACAATCATGTGAACAGCGTGTCGGAAGGTCTCCCCGAATCCGGGACAAAGACGTTCTACGAGAATTTACCCTTCCACGGGATTCAAGCGCCACCTAACAAGGTTAGTATAACAGTCATTGCGGAAGGAATAGCAGCGTTTTGTCAGACCGCATGAGCTAAGCTCGACTTGCAACTTGCATATTAGCGTGATTATCGAAAAGGAAATAATAACGGCAAATGTGTCAGTTGCGATATCAAGTTCAAGTTCATAACGACAATTCGCAACATCAGCTGGCAACCAAGGATCGTATATACAAATAATATTCCAAATTATGGGATACAAGAGAACGTGGGGCATATTTCAGATGTGAAATATTAGAAGAAAAGCACCAAGATCGACATTCCATTTTGTTTCTGAGCTCTAAAACCTTGTTGAAGGTGTAGAAGTAAAATTGATGCGCATAAATGTAAAAGCGTAACTATTTGATTCAATCTTTCACAAAAAACGTTGAAAAACGTGTGTTAAAAAACGTTCCGCTGCTTCTCGGAAAGGCGATACGATTTGGAGAGAAATACATTGAGCGAGATCGAGAGCTAAATGGACACCGATATCCTTTCGGTGCATCTCCAACAGTTAGCACTGAGTTTCGCGAACAGCTCGTCGATTAACGTTGCCTTCTCTCCTCACCAAATACGCTCAAGAGGTGATAGCGAGTGAAATGCGGTGAAAGGCCAAGAGGATAGATATTAGTACGACCCTTCTCTGTTCAACCCCTCCGTTCGAAGACTCTCAGCACTCAGGAGTGCCTCGCTACTTCGACATATGGTTCTCGGCTATTGCTCGTGCTTCACTTTGTAGAAGGTCCAACTCCGCGAAGCCCCTTTCAACCCTTATAATGGCGTTTACTTCGCAGTGACTTTCCGTATAGCCGTCTCGCAATTAAGAGGACCGGTGTCGGGTCCCGATGCTCACGATATTCGTCGACCCTATCGAATTACTGCAGGCTGCATTCGTCATCTCTCTCTCTCTCTCTCGTCGCTTTTCGACCCTTTTCACAAGCTCACCCACCGTCCCATTATACCGCATGTAATCGCGGTTAATTGATTCGCTGAGCAGACGTTTAAATAATTAATTTCTCCATTTCACAACCGACTGCCCTTCCCGGTTTGCGTTTAAGTGATTAAAGCCGGAGTTAAGGGGTGTGTCTTGTACGTGCCGGAAGAGCCGTGAAGTCTTCCGGGATAACAGATTTCACACGGAGCTATCTCCAAATTACGCGTGCGAGGAGTTGCACGCAGAGAGAAATCTCGATAATTGGAACACCGGAGTGGCTCCTTAGCTATCTCGTATATCCGGAGGATGATCCGCATTTTGCGTATGACCCGAGCGAGAGCGCGTTTTTCTTGCGTATCGGAGAATTCACTGCAACGCACCGGTTTTTATAATAAAGCGATTGCTCTGCCTTAGCATTCGATTACATCTTATAGATCTTTACTATGCAAATTCGACCGTCTCAGGCAATTCCACGTCGCATCGCATTCTCCAAGCGTTCCCCGAGCAAGTAAATATATCGTCCTCTTGAATCGCCGAGTATTCCACAAAGGATGTTCTACTTCCTGGCAGTCGGTCCGACTGAATGAACGCTACGGACCCTTTTGTGCTCCGATCTGTCTTGATGCTAATGCGGCCGAATCGATATCGCCTTATCCCGAAAACAATTCCCCACGATATACAACAACAATACTTTGCACTCGTGTAGTTCAATATTTGTGTGTGCGTGTAAAAAATGTTCCGCGTTACAATTTACTGATATTTAAATTGTATTCTATCGTTTATATCGAAACTTATTCGGGAAGCGGAAATCGCATATGGCGATTGACAATTTGCCGTTCATTACTTTTGCACCGACAATGATAAATACACAAATCGCCGCTTGTCGATTTAATCGTAAAGCTGAGATGCGTAATAGTGTCACTTTTGGCAATAATCGTACGAAATCGATGTTGCTGAAATAACATGCCAAATGAAATATCGATCCGTCCGGTACGTCGTCGAAGCGTTTCAATTATTAATCACGTGAAACTTCATAATGGTACTCCGCACGCAGCGAATCAACGGCTGATCAAAACCAGACAAAATTTCCATCAAAATTAGTACACATTATATTCTGAAACGTGTCATATTGACGATCGCATGTGTTCATAATAATTTTTCTCTGACTTTTAAGTCTCGTTAATCGCTTAAATGTAATGATGCGCATAACGGTCTCTGTTGCTTGTTACGTAATTTTACGTCACAACCATGTATCGCGCGATGACGTTTCATTAATTGTCTTACGGACAATTGCAATACCGGTAAATTAAGAGTTTGATAAAATTGCGCGGATAATTTGCCAACGAGAAGTAAACGAAATTATATTAGCTCTTAGTAAGTGGCTGTGCTATTAACTCCTTACGCTCTGCCTCAGATATTTAATTATATTTTTTTTTTACAAACTTCCGGACACTTTTATTAGCTGTAGAAAGTCTCGTAGCCCGATCAATAATGGAAAAAACGAACACCGTTGTGGACAGGTAATTCAATGCTGTGCGAGTGTTACGAGCATTTTTTTGATGAAAATAAATTCACCGCTTGCTTTTCTTTCCTTTTTTTTCTATGACCGTGTTAGTATTAACGTATTCCGACCAAACTAATTATCGCAATAAGTTTCTAATAACTCGTGTGTCTTACAGTGAAGTAACTTTATATTACTACACGAGCGACTTCTGAAATGTTATTCAGATCGCAATCAATTGGTCTGGTTTTGTGCTGATTAACGTACGAATCGTTTGTTCGTGTCACGCGTTCGATGGGAAGTAGAGCCGACATTGCCTACATTCTTAATTTAAGAATCCGATGAGATTCGCCACGTTATCGCAATTCGATATCAGGCGAACGAAGGTGCTGGCGAGGTCGGTTGGTTTGCATTCTATCGAGTTCAGTCCGAAATAACAAAAAATCGAACACACTGGCTTAATCGGCTATTCGTGTACAAATATGACGAAGAAATATTAAATTCGTTTAGAGTCCAATTAAAATATCCTCTAAAACATATGTGCGCTTCCATCATATTCGCTTTGTTTCAGAATTACTTAACTGGCTAATAGAACCCGCAAAAGCAAACAAACAGCCTTAAATAAATATAGGTTCGCAAATTGATCGTTTCCGAAATATCCAACTATTTATTTTGTAAACTACGTTCTTTGTACACGTACGTTTACACATACTGTGGAATGACTGGCATCTGATATTTCGGAGAGTTTAAAGAGTTCACAATTTACACGGACTTATTTTTAATATATCTGCAATTCTTGAATATCTTTCTTCTCCTATACGATTTCACGAAATAAATCTGATTGATTTTTAGAGATATAAAATGAGGGAAAAACTCATATCATTTATTTACATTTATTATTTGCATTTCGATTGCATTTTAATTGCATTTTCGCTCAAAGAAAACACGAAATTAACGTTTTATGATATTAAGTACAACCGAGTTCTCTGTTTTTATTATAAATTAATTTTAGCATTAAAAATACTCCCAAAAACAATCGATATTTTTTATCACGATAATATAATTTTATCAATTAATTAAATTAGTTAAATTAAATCTTTATTTCGAAGATAAACGACTGCACATCTATCAGAAGCGCGGTAGTTTCAGTTTTCGAGCCGCCAAAACCACTAGAAGCCAAGATATCGACTAATATATCGAGCCGCATCCTTGATCAGTTTGATATTGCCGAAATTACGTCAAAATGACACCTGCTAAGTTCCCGTTACACATGGGTGTACGTTTGTAAACGCATTACGAACAAACGCACAAGGTCCTGTCCCCCACTCTCGAGCATATAGCGAACTAACAATCGCTAATGCCGAGCGTCTGCCGAAAATTTAAGGGGGAACTACTCGCGAACGAATCCATGTGAAGACATGAAACCAATCTTCTCGGCGCACAATCGCGCGTACGATTGTGTTATTCCTTTTTCTTTTTTCTTTTTCTTTTTCTGGCGACTACAGTCAAATATCGTGACAAATTTAGGGATTAATTTAACCCTGACAGTAACATGTCAGGCCTACACAGAAAACAATGCTAGATTCAAATAAATAATTACTCCAATATTTCTTAGCTACTTTTTACTTGAATTAAATAAATGTTCTCCTATTTTTATTTTTCTATTATCCGGAAAAAAGTTGGATCTATGGGATCACTGCTATTACCAGCCTGATATCCAATGATTCAACAGAATAACTGGTTTCTTGGCAGTCTACAAAAGCAATGAATAAAAATGGTAATAAATTTAATAATTCATAAGACTTGAAAAATATAGGAAAGCATGATTTTTACAATTTTTCCGTGATGTAGGCTGAGAAATTTATAATGTTATTTCAGCGCCAAGATTGCGGGTGTTACTCTCAAGGTTGAAGGGAATCTCTCTTCATGAATGTGTTTTTCACGCGACAAAACCGCTCTTTATACGTTTATAAAATAAAATATATGTTCGTCATTTCTATTATATATTTGAATATGTATGCAGAGATTTTCAACCAAGAAATTTGGAAAATACCACTAACCAAGAAATTTGAAAAATACCAAAACGAGTTATTATAAACGAGGGAAAACGCACAAAACAATGAGGACGATTGTCTGATAATATAATTACCCAGAATAAGCAATTGAAAAATGACACTATTGAGAAATAGAAACAAGATTATGATGTTCTTAAATTTTTTGAGATATCAGCCATTTCACAATACATGTAATTGTCTGAAGAACGTAATTTACAAAATAAAAATCTAAATATCTCGAAAACAGTTTAAATTTATAATTACGTTAACAGCTTTTTGTTTACTTTCTTTTAATTTTATGAGTTCTATTAGGCAGTCTTCATCTTTCATTCTAAAATATCCTGTAAAAAATGACAACTGTGACAATAATTATTTATTGCTTAGCAGAAAAAGTACGGTAAAAATATATATATAGTTTCCATCTATACAGGGAGTCCCAAACTGTTCTCGGTTCCAGTGATGTGTAAGTAGAATGGGTGAAACTGAGTAGAAAAGTCATACCATTTTGCAAA